CACATGTCGAAGTTTCTCCGGAACCCGGTGAACTAGCGGGAAGGAAGGAAGGAAAGGCGTATACAACTAAGTGGGTCCGCGGGGTAGCAAAGCAACCCTGGCCCAGGCTCCTGGAGTCAGCAGGAGTGTTACGTACGTTGGGAGCTTGGTGTTCCGGGGTGCGGCAAACCGGTCTAACCTTGGACCATCCACAGCCGAAACAGCCTGGAGGCTACCCACTGGGGTATCAGCCACTACGTGTTCTGGAGACGGAGTCGCCCTGAAAGGGCGTCGCCAGACTGTTTCTCACCCCTGGAAGGTGGTGTGCGGTTAGCTCCACATTGTATTCCAGGCACCAAAGGAGGATTTGCTCCGCTAGAACGGAGAACGATGGGGAATGCGTCCCCCCCCCCTCCTTGAAGGAGACCACCGCTGCGTTGCCTGTGCGGAGCAGGACTCTGTGGTCTCGAACTATGGGTAGAAAGGTTGATATGGTAGTCCCGAAACTAATGCAGGAGCCATATCCTTGGGCTTGTTCGTCCAATAGATGCGCTCCCCAACCCTGGGGGGAGGCATCTGCTACCAGAGTCATACTTGCGGCGAGGGGGTCCAAGGGGGCCCCTCTGCCCGAGGTTGGCCAGTGACGACCACCAGGGCAGGGCTTCCTTCACTTGGTCCGAGATCGAAACCCACCTATCTAGTTCCCATAGGAGAGCTCGGCATTATACCGGGCGGCTGCGTAGTGCGGCCTGGGAACGACCCTTCGAACCGAGGTCATCATTCCGATGATCCACATTAGTTCACAGAGGGACACTGAGGGAGCGCTGACTAGGCATTCGGCTAGGCTGCTTAGCGCTAAGCAACACGCTTGAAATAGCTAAGCCAAGCTTACCTCTGTGTCAAAAACTCAGGGACACCAACTGCGCGTTGGGTCGAGCTGGGACTTGTCGATTTACTAATGAGCTCAACTGGTGAAGTAAATCCTGTGTTAGCCTGATGCGTTTGGCTATTAACCCCTTGCCCGGGTTGTTGGTAACCAGTAGTCTGGGTACGGATTGAGGTGTACCGATATCTGGTGAAGCAGCAGCACTATCTGTTTCATCACTGTGGTGAACACGTAGGGCGCTGTGCCTAACCCGAACGGAGGGGCACTCGAAATTTGAATATTTGGCCCCGCTTAAGTCTAGTGGGGCTAGCCAGTCAAAACGGTGGATGGAGAGAAGAACCCTGAATGGTGTCTCCATGTGGAACAGATTGAGGAGCACGTACTGATTCAGTCTAGGTCCAGAACTGGACGCCTACCACTTGTAGATTTAGTACTACGAACACATTTGGGTAGAAGCCTGGACTTAGTTCTGGCTGATGTACCCTATGTATGGTGTTTTTTTTCCCAGCAAACTGCTACTTCCTGTCTGATTGCTTCCGCTTTGCGGAGTCCCCTGGCAGTGTCCAACAGAGGAGACACTGACGGGGAAAATAGAAATTTCAGCGGTATCCCGTAACAGGATGTCACCATCTGGAAAGGTCCAGGGATCGGTCACCCGCTGTCTCCAAACGAGACTACACCAGCGCAATCTGTGTACGACAGGGATATGCGGCCATGGGTTCGGCAGTTGCGAGGGGGGGGTGCTCTCTTCTCCCATAAGGTGAGTTCCCCAAGGCCTGAAGCCCTGAAGTAGTCACCAAGTTGTGACCTGGCCACTCGTCGAACACATGCCTGTCCCCCCGGTTGCAGAGGTGAGCATCAAACATGCTTCCCACACTGCGGGGGTAGATGTCCGCCCAGGGAGGGTGTGGAGCCACCACCTAGCTCTTTCCTCCCTGGGGGCGCGCCACTACTCTTCCCTCCCATGGAGGGGTTCATACCCCTTGCGCTTGCCTCCTGGCTGACCCTGGCTAGCGAACGATGCCCTAGGGAGTTTTCTGTGCTTTGGGTGCCATCTGCTTGCCCTTGGCAGGGCCAACTGGCTAGCGGATTCGATCTGAACCTTTTGGTACATTGCACTCCGAAGCTCCGAGGCTGTACCCACCATTTCCTGAACAAAGAGGGTGGAAGTATGCGTCAGTGAGGTGGGGACGTACCTCCCCCCAACTCAGGTTGTCGGTGAAAACACGTACGTCTAAGGCTGCGTCTCGTAGCACAGTAGTGGCCCTGGCCAAAAGAGCCAGGTGACACTAGGGGGTGTCGCACGTAGATGTGCGGTGGCCCACCAGAAAAGTGTCGCCTGGTCTAGGAGGCTGGTGCGTTCTGCCTCCGAGGTCTCCAGAGTCCTGGGTGCGCACAATAATGCGCTCAAGCAACTCTGCCCCCAGGGCTGGATGGGTCGTCTTCCGATTGGCAAGAACGCCCATGGAACGCGGCTGTCCCCAAGTGCCCGGTTTGCCAAACGGAAATTCGTGGTACCGGGGTCTGGGGAAGGAGCCTTGGGATCTGGTTGGGGGCGTTTTGGTCTCATCCCACGCTATGGGGTCTGATCCCGAAACCAACGTCCGCCCATCAACACCATTTGCGTGCTTTGCGCCCCACTCCGCACTCGGATGGACAGGGAGAGACGTGCCGACGGGGTTGCTTTGGATCCCGATGCCCGTGATCCCATAAGCGTTGAAGCAACTTTAGGTGGTCGCCTTAGGATCAAGGGTGGGGGTATTTACATTGTATCACTGGGATCGATGATACTCCGTATCACCCCAAAAGCGTGGCTCACCGAGTCATTACGGATGGAAGACTCTGAGGAAATGCCTGGAGTACCGGCTGTATCCGACACAGGTGAACTGTGTTTCCTTTCACTTTAAATATGTGAGAGGGAGCGTGTTCGACTGTGCGTCTCATGACAGGGTCGGTTCCCTCTGGAGACGCCCGTGGGTCGGTAAGAAGGGAGTCAAAACCCACAGCGGAGACCGGACACAAGGATAAATTTGTTACCGTTCTAACGTTACCGCGTGACGAACCCTAGCTGGCTGAAAGTAGGGGGGTCAACATGTGCCCTGCCCTGAAAGCCCTGCCCCGAAATCGGAGGCTTGGCTGCCAGCACCCCGTTGGCATTCAGTGCCTAAGGCTGCAGAGGAGGCCTGGTGCAATTAGCCTGAGCCTCGGCCTCACCCAAAATTAGTGGGAGAGCCACGGCTGGGAACGGGGGTTCCCCGGAAGAGACGTGTTTGAATGCAAACATGCTTTCAAGTTTCTTCCTGCTTGCCCACCCAGGGGCCGCAGTGGAGACAGCTCGCTCCGACTGCGCCTGATCTACCCGGCCTGCCAGGGACGCAAATGCCCCGACAGTCCTTTGACCAAAGCCCTCAACTCAGAGGCAAACCCAGCACCGTGCGAGGAAGGGTCCAAAAACGGGCCCCATAGGAGGAAAGCCTCCAGGGACACAGCCTCGCTGCAGCCAGTAAAAAATCGGGTAAACCACCGCCTGAAAAAACAGGCTGTGAGGATGCCATCTGATCAGCGGGGGGAGACCGAGAAAATATCGGTACCTCCACCATCGGGCCTCCCACTCAAGGTCCCAGTACACGAAGCACAGATAGCCGAGTGTGAGGAATTTCCACTCATGCCAAACACGCAACTCACTTTAACCGATTTGTTTACTGGACGCGAGACCTTGCTGTGACGCGGTCTCAGGCCTCAGAACTCCAGTGAAAAACATACCTTCACGCAGAAACCCCAAACCCCGCACGCAGCTACGACAAAATATCTCGGATGCAGGTTCTATGCTGGTAAATTCTGAATATAACCACTGCACGGTCGACTCGAAACACGAGGAGACCGGAAAGAAAACGGCAGCGAGCCCTGGTGCTGTCATTACATCAATATATTGCTAAATACATTGTAAATAAAAGACGACATGGACGAGTGGAAAAAAAAAACGAAATACAGTTGTAAAATGTGCCGCCGCTAAACCAACCAGTGGTTACGTAGAGGCGCCGGGTTTTAATTTCTTTGTTGTGAAAAATACTACACACAAAGGGGAAAAACGACACGAGGGTAAAAATTACAAGGAAAACTTATCCTACCAGCTACAATGTCGGATGCCGTGCAGTGGCAACAACCCAAGCTAGAAACCCGGACAGGAAAAAAAAAGCAGGCGATCTAGCAGAGCTCGCTAGATTTCATCTCCACTCGAGGCGGAGAAAAAATCAGAGTGATTGACGGCTACCTATGGCGCTGCCATGTAGCCTCGGTCACGTGGGTTGGTGACGTAAGGGGTAAAAGAATCTTGAGGTCATGGGGCTTCCCCTGACCTAGATTCTATCTTTCCGTCACCGGCAGAATCGCTGATTAATGCCTACAGTTCAAAATAGTCATTTTGACTGACCGGAGTCTATAGTGGGTAATTGAACGTAGTGAATAGACACTGTGCAATTACAAAAGGCAATAATTACCTTATCAATGATTTCTTTCTGTTCTTCTGGTTGAAATCCTATTGCAGCCACACCACACTGCGGATAAATCAAACAGTAAAATGTACTATTCTTTTGCCAAATCCGGTGTTGACATTTTGTATATTTTTTTATAGTCTTAAAATACAAACGATGATTACAAATAAATTTTCCAATAATTTTGTATTTGATGTCACCATCATTGGCATATTAAACCTGCATAATTTTGTTCTTATTTTTCCAACATTTTGATCAAACCCTGAGGCCTGTATCAAATTATGTCCACTTGGACCAAAATTATACAATGAATGGCAGAAACCTGGGGACATTATAAAAGTTTTATAAATATAATTATTTATAAATCATAATGACTGTTAGATTTCAAACTGACCAATTCAGAAATGGTCTTATAACATCATAAGTCATAATTAATACTAATGTGCTAGTTCAACTCATCATTTAGCGAAGGACCCTGTTTTGAATAAGTGGGTGGTCATAGTTGCTACATTGTATGTCACACTAGGACATGCATGTACATTAGGGCTGTAGACAATGTTGAGCTCTTCAGCCAATCACTGTTAAATATTTGAATTTGAATGAAAGCAGATGATTGGCATTTACAAATTTTTATAAATTTGTTTATAAACTAAACTACAGCTTTCTGCCTTTCATTGTATCGTTCCATGTGCCTTTATGAAGAAGTCATTCAAATAAAACAAATTGTTAAAATTTGAAGATTGACAGAACATTTCCTGCATTCACTGAGAAACAATATTTCTTGAGATACAGCAAACTTAGCATAGAAAAAATAAATATCCATTCCAAATGACCTGTGTCCTTAGTCATTTTTTACCAAACATGAAAAAATAATTGCTAAGAATTGAGAATAGTTGATATCGTCACAAAAAGAAAATATCTAACAGAGATTAACCCAAGATACCTACATAACATGTATCAAATCGTAAATAGCAGTTTTGACAAAATGATCCAAAATATTCACAAAAATACAATATTGACACAAAATCTGAGAGAGACCCATCGAAGGTAGTAGTATACTAAACACTCAAAACACTCAGGCTACTGGTTTTCAAATAAAAGATGCAAATGCAATTGTTGAAAGACGAAAGACAATTAATCAGTAATATGATCAACTCTGTTGTTGTGTCATACTCGATGGAAGCAGAGCTAAAATTATTAGTATCAAGTCGCAAACACAAAACGTGTTATAATAAATGGTTATTTTGTCAATAAAATAATAAAAATATACAATTGTATATTTTCAGTAAGCTTAAGAGCCAATCCTTACAACAGACAATGATGATCATTGTTTCGCTTGGTATAGTATACAATGTATTTCTGATGTTTTATCTGGGATCAGATTGTTATCTGTCATTATAATATTTATTCTAATAATTTGTCTAAAGATCCCTTTCTTATCTTCTGTATCTGTACAGATTATACATGTACATGCCATAATCATATCATTATTTTATAGGACCATAGAACACCTCACTGTAGTTTATTGTTTTAGTGTTGAATAAATATTATTATTATTATCATAAGCATATTTATTTGAATGCTTATTTGTTAAAGTAAAGCGTCATTTACATTCAAAGTTAACACGATGTTTCCAATGACATGAACGTAATATTATCTTATCTTTTCAATATTAATGCGGTGTGCAACTGTCCTCGGCAGACATTGTTCTTAGTAGAAGAACGTGAAAAATATTACACCAGAAATAATATCGCAGAGTAACGTTCAATATTAACTGTGTTGGCCTGATTTGGACATGTGCGTCACACAAACCCAGAAGATTTGGCACAGCAGAAAGCGTAGACCGGAGGATTATTCAATGTGTGATATTGTTTGATTCTTGATTCATAAACACAAATTATCAAATATATTAAAAAAACTGTCAAATGTAATTAGGAATTTGTTTTACAATGTATCTCTAAAGTGTAAAAAACAATTTATTACTGTAAATGGAACTTTCATTTTATTTCTTGTAAAAACGTAAAATGCATTTTTTATTTTCTGGAACCTGTACCTGTATTTACCTCATAAATAAAGAAGGCTGAGTGAAATTTGTGTCTACAATGTTTGATAATGCTATTTTGACAATGTAATAGGTAATGTTTTTCATCACCAATCTTGTTACAATTATGGATTTTACAGTCTTTTCTCTCTTACCGGTAATCCCTGTATTTCTCCCAGACTCAACTGGCAAGAAATGTACCATACTCTTTACCTTGTCAGAGCAATCCTGTGTTTTTTATTTGTAATGTCATCTAAATACTTTTTGTGTGGAACTTTTCAGGTAACAACTTGTCAGCAAACAATTTTGAAGTTTTCTATGACTGATTTATTTTTGCCTGAACCATTACATATATTCACATGAAAAATTCCCCATATGTCTGCCCCATACATTAAAGTGGGTTTGACCCAGGGGCTCCTTCCATAGAAATGCAATACAGGTATGTGTCGCCTGACTGGGGTGTCATTTCACGTTTTTTTGTTAAGAAGTGGGTAATCATTTATCAAAGTTTTGGTATAGAAGTGTAGCATAATGCCATTTAATTACTTTTTCACAGGTCCTTATATTCAAAGCCAAATACCAGAAAAGGCTGAATAAAATGTGTCACCCGGGTGCACTCACTGGTTGCGAAAGTTGTGAGCCGGGTGTTTTTTGTACATTTGTAATATTTCATGTCAGTGACCACCCCCACCCCCTCCCCCAGCTGACATAGTGTATGTGGTATGAGTTAAGCCATGTAGGTCGCTGAAAACATTGTGTTTAGAAGTTGGTTTATAAATAGACAAAAAAATTGTTTACAAGAGATGGGCAGCACACCCCTACCCAGTAGCCCACGGGGGGGGGGGGGGGGGGTATGTTGGAGACCACAGAGTCAAAAAGCTTGTTAGCTAATCTCATTACAATCAAATAGCATTTTATACATATAAATCAGTGCTTTTTGAGACTTGTCATGAAGTCCAGTTTATCATATATAAATTGAGGGATTGTGTAGCGACATACACAACATAAAATATAAATCATTGAATAGCTTGTACTTTCGCACATTCTCTTTCCATTGAATCCGGTAGACATAAAGGCAATTTTGAAGGATTTTTTCATTCTTACCATTTTGGCAAAATTTATTTTCTATATTCTTGATATGTTTTAGTACTATAAGTCTTGTTGTTTTGTTGTTGTTGTTATTATTATTGGACATTACTCAAGATTTCATTGGTACGTTCCAAATCAAATTCTACTACTACAACGTATGTACACAACGCGTGTAAAATACATTGTTTGTTTACATGAAATTGGAACAAGCGCTGCAAGACTGCTACCGCCTTTTACATTCTATATAATAATGTTCGATGATATATACCTTCCATGTGAAGTTTCGAAGAGGCACAACTGCAAAAAACTGTGAAATTATCGGATGGACCACGATCTCTTCTTCTCGTCTTGTAGCAGACATGTTGAACTTTCGCAAGTAATTACTCGCTGGGTCATTGGGCATGCGCAGTAAACGAATCGCCATCTTGCTTTGGAATACTTCCGGGAGAAAATGTAAGTTGAATCCTTGATAATTCCGACCATCCTTCTATATACAATGACTGTGTTTATTTCATTGCCAAAAGTAATATTCATTGAGTGATATCGTGGCATTATTTCTTGTCTAGCCTATCTGTTTTTCCACTAAAGTGTCAAGGAAATCATGACTCGCAGTTCATTGAAATAAATGAATGACCCGACGCTATTACAACGTTTCAAACGTAAACATTACTATTGTGAACTGAATGTTCGTGTTTTGCACCAGTACGTTTGTGCACAGTGTTACTGTAAATTTTATGGGTGTGTCTGTCTTGCTGTGCTATTTAACACTGGTGTTATTGTGAGTTTGTTAAAGGTTCTTTGTACGTATAATTATTGACCGGTTATTAAAGTTTCTAAGTCCCCCCTTTGCATGATCGATCATAGCATTCCTTTGTTTTGTAAAGTAAAACACCTGACATGACACGATTTATCTTCATGGCATACATGTGATTTATTCGTTACGTTTGATCGTACATGTACATTTGTTATAAGTCGAATTATTAATATCTCTTTAAAATTTGGTTTTACTTTGTCGACCTGGTTGTTGGTTTCTCACCACATTGTATATATTCCATGGAACCCACAACAAAAACAATGCAGTGACCATCACCCTTTTTAGCTGTATAACAAATGTAATTTTCAATTAACCAATAATCAAATTTATAGTCACTGGCTGACTATGATTGTGTTCATTGGGCGTTTATGCCAATCCTATTGCAGAAGTATTATACTTGGAAACATGCATAAAGCAATTAATGGTGGTGTCTCCTGGGTAAAATGCATTGTTGACGCTAAATTTAAATAAAGGCTGTGCTTGTTGCACTATCGCCTTTAAGTTAATGATTGACATATTACATTGTACATGTATGTTGTTATTGTTCATGTTATGCCAAACAGGAGAAACATCTTGGTTTTTCTGCAGTGCATGTTAACAATGTGTATGCACACTACTACCCAGCACATACCAGCTGTAAAATCTAAAATAGCTAAATGAGAACTGTGGACCTCAAAGCTAGGCACATGTAAATGATCTTATCTTTGAACATGTTTAGTTTCTAGGGTATAATGCCCCCATGAATGGTGGCGAACAAAATTCCTTATTCTACTATTCTTATCTGCAGAAGGGACGATTCAGTGAAAATAAAATCTTAATATACCTGTTTTCCTATATTTTACTTTCAACTCAGTGAAAATAAACTCGATACAAAACACCCAAAAAGTCTTTTCAGAGAAAATTAACTCCAGTTAAAATAAAGTATTTATTCACAATTGAGTTCATCTGAATTTACGTTTTAGGAGAGTTGACAGCCGCAGTCGAAGCACGGACCGAAAGGGTAGTACTAAAAGTAAGACTGCTGATAAGAAAAGCAAAGGGCGCAAAAGACAAGTGTCCAGTAGCAGCAGTGATAGGTATGAGTTAACATAATGTGCTTACAATTACTATGCAATGTTTATCATACATGTATATGCTCTCTAAGTTATATGAGAGTGTACATGTAAATGCATGTCGTATGCTCACTTAACACCACTGGTTTTAACAATTTTAATCCAAGTAGGATGAAACCACCAAAATAATTGTTGACTTGTATGTGCCTTTGTTGAAGATGCGTTTGTAGTAAAGCTAATGTTGTGTATGGACTCCTTGGGAAATGGCAATATGCTTAATTCAGAACTATTGCTACGTTCACGTTAAGAGATCTTGGCACGTGGTGAAACTTGCAGAGGGATTCGAAAAACAATTATTTTTTCACGTCTTTGTAGCATTGCAAAAAAAAAAAAACAGTTGCAGCAGCGCATAGATATGTCGCTGACAAACGTTCTGCATTCATTTAATTCATTACTACAGCATTCGACCATATAAAGCTTCACTTCCCTCCATCGTCATGTCATAGGGTGCTAGTATGAATCAGTATATGTTCTCTTAAATTCACCACTGAGGGCGTGATTTTGGCTCGTGCCAAGTGATCAGGCAGCAAATCTTGCTGGACGTCTATCGGGACTGATAAGTTTTTTTTCGGCACGTGCTGACTCGGCCCGATCATTCACATACATGTTTCGGCATGTGCCGGGATCTCTAACAAGAACGCAACAGCAGCAGCATTCATTCAAACATTGTTTGACATCTGTATGACCTGAATCATCACATTACTGTTTCTAACTTATATGATGTCTCAATATTTATATATAATAGTCAAATATACAATTATATCATGTGCCGGTACTTAACACTAACACTAACTCTTAACATTTTTTATTTTTCTTGGTCCAAAGTTCTTCAGGGTCCTCTGTAAGCCGCTCCAGTTCATCAGATTCGTCAAGTAGTTCTGGAAGCAGTAGTTCACGTTCAAGAAGTAGTTCTGGGTCCAGTTCAAGGAGTTCATCGTCATCAAGTCGATCTAGTTCTAGCTCTGACAGTTCGCGTAGTCGCAGCCGTGGAAGGAAGAGACCTGTTAGAAGATCAAGAGAAAAATCTAGGTATAGTAGTTTGCAGAAGCTTTCAACTTTTCTAGTTGTTATATTGAACACAACACCAACCATCTGTAATGTCATCCTGCCAACTTCCCTGTCTCTGCCCTAGTGTCAGTGAATGAAAGCCACTTAGAATGGTTAAATTTTGTGTTTTGAGCTCACAAAACATGCATAATTAAACAGGTTTTCATTAGAAGAAAACAGCAATGTTTGATTTTCCTTGATGATGTTGAGCATTACAGCCATTTATATGAGCCTATGATTTTCAGGGTGGGGGTGAGAATCCTGCTATACAAGATGCACTCTTCTTGTGTATCTCTATCACAGTGGTGGGCAACATTAGTCTCAAACAACTTTTGTGCATTCAGGAAGAGGGATTAGTCTTACTGATTACTGCTTATTGTCAAACATAAACACTTATTTTGTGCAATCCTTATGCAATTTAAAGTTACCTGTATATAAAAACCACCTGTCTAAAGTGGCCGTTATTTTAGCACCACTTAGGTCAAATAAACCTCTATACAAAGGCCAAAATGATGGAAGCTTGTATTAGATGCGTAGTCTCTACTTTAATCAAGCTTATATTTATTTATCTTCTATCTTCAAATATCTGTTGAGAGATTACCCCTTAAACTGAGAAATTATTTTCATATTTGTATTCACCAATTAATCAAACATGTGATGGGGGTCGCCTGTCCGTAAGGGACAATTTGTACATTGATATACACGGATTGTATGCATTGTATGCATAGTCAGTGATATATTACTTTGCATGATGTGCGTCCAGGAGTAAAGCTGACTTGATTTTGTAATTCAGATCTCCAAGAAGAAAGAGAAGAAGTCCTACACCAAAGCCAACAAAATTACACATTGGAAGACTAACACGTAATGTAAATAGAGATCACTTGCTGGAAATCTTTTCTACTTATGGTAAAGTAAAAACAGTGGAACTCCAAGTCGATAGAATGACTAATTTATCAAGAGGATTTGCTTATATAGATTTTGAAAATCATGACGATGCCGACAAAGCGATGAAACACATGGATGGAGGTAAGATGAATTAATTGACTAGTTGTGTCAGACAGACAGTCCTGTTGCACAGACAGTTACATTCTTAATTAATAGCCTTTTTTTTCAATTGAGAACCAGCATTATGCATCCCGAAATAAAACATAAAACAGGACAAACAAAGGTCATAGTGGCATCAAAATATCATGTGGGATTCGACAAACTTTAAATATTTTTCGGATATTTCCCAGGGTTCTCCACGAGGGGTTTTAACAGGGCACCGCGCCCTGTTTAAATTGTCAGCGCCCTGTTATATTTCCTGTGCATAATCCCAGACAAAGAATTGTTTACAAAACAAGTCAACACTCATTGTCTTCCGAAGATGATTCATCGTGCTCGGGGTAACTGGTTCATTGTTTTAAGGTGGAACTGTGAAAATTCCGGTTTGTTATCGTAGCAGGTCACCGTGAGGTAATATTAACACCACCGAACAAAAAGTTACAAGTTTTTTCAACACGATTAAAAATGAACATGTGACCTAGAAAAGTGATTACCGTACCCATATTTTTACTGCCAGGGTGACGTCAAATATATAAAATCGTTATCGGTAAAACCATTCGTTAAACATAAGGTCTATGGTTAAAACCAAGTTCACGCCGTGACTAGGTAGCGGCAACATCGTCACCGTCGAGTGGAACAAA